AGCTATAGTGCGGGCACTATTATAATCTTTATATATACGGTGTTGTTTTTTCGGCTCATTTAGGCCGTAAACACTAAACCCTAAAACCCTAAACCCCCTAAACCCCTAAAACCCTAAACCCCCCTGAACCGTGTTTAGGGCTCAAGTTGAAAGGTTTTGGGTTGGGGGTGTAACAAGCGTGGTTGTAAGGATCTCAGCTTTTGGGGCAAGTTTAGCATTTCAGGATATGGGGTCCTAGGTTGAGGGCTTTAGGATTTTCTAAGCCGAGCGTAGCACATTACCCGAACATACTACCAAAGCCCAAAAACGACTACGCTGTGGGATCCTGTAAAACTCCGCCTATCCCCACCTACCACTGTGTACATAAGTAATATATATATGTGTGTGTGTTTATCAAGTTTCAAATACCATACATCTGCCTGGCACTGTCGCATCCCCTTTGAAGTGACCTACGCTGCAGGGTCCAGGTAGAGTTCAACGTCACACGATGGATTCGAGATGGTTAGCTTCGTGCGGTCTCGAGAAGAGCCCTCAGGACATGCGGTTGGCTTGTAGGAATGGAAGGAATGGAAAAGACATGGAAACAGCCTACTTGAGGGCTATATGGTGGCTACTATAGGAATTTGTTCCGCTAACAGCGCATGTTCTTGGGGAAACTCAGAACAGAACCCTATTGCAATCCCTCTGTCTCTCTCTCTCTCTCTCCCTCTGACATGTATATCTATATATATGCATGCAACATAAGCCCCTGTAGTTGGCCCTAAAAGCCATAGTCCGCAATTCCCCAAAACCCAGCCGGAAGAAGAGTCAATCCCCCGGAGACGCCTCTCTCACAGCCGCCTCGGCCGCGCTTACGAAGGCTCCCTCAAACGTGGCATCTGCAAAGAGATCCTTGGTGAACTGGCAGCTGAACGGAATTCCGCTCTCTCTCTCTCTGGCGTCTATTTTGTCTGAGGCTCTCTCTTCCTCGCCTGTCTCCACCTCTCTCCATCTCCCTGTTCCTCATCCATCAAAAATCAGCTGGACCCACCAGGAACCCACCCATATCATGAGAAGAGTTTCAGGCTGTGGGCGTAGGAGATTTGCTAAGCCGCAGGTCGTTGGCTCAGGAACAACGGGCACCTTGGCCGGATTCACCTAAACTCTCCAAGGGAGTCACTTGTGCTTCTGGTGTCCTACAAAGAACCCTCACCCAAAAACATACCAAAATTGGGGGGCCCAGGCGGGTTTGGAGATCAGGTTCAGGGGTTTGGGATGTAAGGATGTAGGGCTTCAACGATGGCAAAGAAGCAGCGTTAAGCAATAGTTAGGGTTGATGGACTAGGATTTAGGGACGAAATATAGGGCTATATGGATTGGGGTATCAAAACGATTTCAATGCAGGGCTTCTAGTTTAGGTGGCTAGCTAGGTAGGCTAGTCACAACACCCTACTTTAGGAGGACCCCTCACCCTGTAATAGTGACTATAAGGGATAATAGGGATTATATTAGGGTCCCCTTATATTCTTATTATACTCCTAAACCCTAAACCCTAAATAGGGTCCTCTTATATTCTTATTATACCACTATTACAGGGTGCGGGGGTCCTCCTAAACCCTACTGCTCTTCATCCTGCAGCCTCGGCTATCCCGAACTCATCCCTCTCCGCTCTTTCAGTTGAACCCTGCTAACAAAATACATGCCCTTTCGGGAGGTAACACACATAATATATGTACATATATTTATTTATATACAAATGAATATATATATATACACATACATAGACACATAGATACATGTAAAGGAGGGCTGCAATACTGACTAGGTCCTCAGAGCAGGGCCTTCACGGGGCGTCCAAACAACGGGCTGCTTGTCTTAAACTTAAACATCCTCACAGCAGTCTCACAGCTTCCTCTCGGACAAAGGGTTTAGAAAGGTCATACGCAAGACACCAGTTCAGGGTATCATATGTTTGCAGCTACAGAATTTGATTGTGAATCCTGCAACTGCCTCGGCAGCGCGTGAAGCCTGAACCTCTATGACCCTACGAAATCACCTCTTGCAGTTTTCACAACGAAGCACATGGCCCCAGCAAACAAAAACATTCCCTAACGAGACTAGCCTGGACCCAGTAAACCCTGTGGGCAGCCAGCCTTCACATAGGTTGACTTTGGCTGCCGGGGCTTTGCCACAGCCGCAGCAACGAGAACAAAGCAGACCATGCGACCCAGCATGGCGTACATTATAGTATATTATGGTATACTACAGCATAGCATGGTATATTACAGTCTATGGGTTGTGTATGCACCTCCCCCTAAATTGACGCACGCTGGTAATCACATGTATACATACTACGTACTATATGAACTATGTTACCATGTTAGCTGATGACCATATTATTTCGTGTCAATATTGCTCGGAATGCTCATGTTGCTGGGGTTGAGATTCTGCAGCAGTTGCAGGCGCTGCATGGAGTGACGCAGCGCTTGAGGCCAGGGATTGGATAGTATGTTGCATAGGGTGATATAGGGTTTTTGAGGTACATACATGGGCTTTGGGGTTTAGGGGTGTAAGGGACCTAGCGAGACAAATACCCCTTCTTTCAGGAATGTACCTGAAACCATATCAGGGATCCTAGCATGATTTGGGGTGTATTTCTTGATTCAGGGGTAGTGATACTGGGCTGCCCGAGATAAGGATGAGAAAGCACTTGAGTTTTGCGCGCGGCTCTAGTTGTGAGTGCGGTGCTGATATATAGGTCAATTCCAAGATCAGAGCTCCTCCCGTTTTTCCCGGCCTTATCTGTTGGGCAACCTCCACACATGTATGTTGAATGCATGTTGTTTGATTAATGGCCCTTGTAAGTTGAAAAGCTGGCCCGTGTCAGCCTGTTTGTTTCTCAGCTGGCTTGGGCCAATACAGCAGCACGATCTCACTCAAGATGCGTATGCTGCTAGGCTTAGGTTTCATCTGGCTAAGTAACTGTTCTAATTTTGACAAACAAGCTGAAACAAGGCCACCCAAAGCCTAAGATTGCCGTCGCCACACTTTTAGCCAGGTTCATGATACCGATTTTGGGGCTGACTTTCGCGGACTTCTTGCAGATTTGCACTCAACTCTGAGTATTCTTACTGGTGCTTGAAGGGAAGTGAGGGAGTGGAGGAGTGAAAATAGACACTCTTGCAGGCGATGCTATAGTCGGGGTTGTTGCGGCAATCCACTCGCCCACTAGGGACAAGTGAGTGGAGTGGATATGCTGGTTGAGGTTTGCTGGCACTGCTGTTGCAGCTACATGCATGCTCAGTGCATATTGAACAACTTGCGCTTTGTCATAGTTGTTGTGTAGTGACAGGGTAGTGCTGGTTAACATTCTATGGGCGCCGCTATTCCTGCAGCCATGAAGTTTCAGCTACCTGCTGGCTCTTCTCTCAATGCCTCGAGTTTTGTGAGCACTCGCTGAAGCTCTTCGCGGACCGCCGGCCTCTCAACATGTAGGGTCGCACGCTGTACGCTATGTTTGGTTTCAACCCTTCATGGTGATCACGGCGGACAAGCAGCAGATATTGAGATCCCGCTACACTCTTATCATGTTGGCGCGCTGTGCCCCTACGTGGGCTGTCTAGTCGCAAAGTTCTGTCATGATCGCACTGCAAACTTCCCCAGCATGAGACTTCCATCTGCATAGGGCTACTGGACAAACTCTGCCATGCGGTCATCAAATCGTGAATCATAATGGCTATCTTCGTGTAGCTGACCGATGTAGTCTAGATTCTAGACTACTGGGCGCGCAATTCGGAATGCATGCTGAAGCCCCACGAAACCTCCAGTGCAATGCGAACGCACCGCGGAATGTATGATATACATATGTTCAAGTTCCCGCTGACGAAAGAAATGATGTCTTCGGGCTTGGCTTTCTGACAGTAGAAACATCCCCTTTGTGTCAAGCATGCCCATCGCAGGGCTAAGTACAATCAAGCAAACCAATGCTAAACTCAAGCCCCAAACCAAAAATCTAAAAAAGGGAATTTTGGTTACCCCAAGCACAAAACAAGATGACGCCATGCCTGCCATATGACCTATGACAGGGTTGGAATGTAGACTTACAGGGTTTGCAAGGGTAGCCCGCCTGCCTAGGTGAGCAGAAACGTGTCCAAGCCAAGACCCAAAGAGAGCCCACAACCGCGGCGCACTTTCAACAAGATCCCCTCAACTGTCTTCATCCCAGTTGACCCTTCCAAGCATTTTGTTGAGACGACTTTGCTTGAACCCCCCCAACTAATGACGCGGGGCTGCAACATGCTCCACAACAGCTGAAAGCAAAGAAGCCACACAGCACCGAAATCTCTGTGCCCCAAACAGCTGACCCCGAGCTCCCAAAGAGTGTCACTGGCAGACAAAACAGCTAACTCGGGGCTTCTTCTTTAGTCCTGAATACTATGCACCCGCGATCTGCGCGGCCTCTGCGCACGCTGCAGCATGTCCTTCAGCTCTGCAATGTCAGCCGCCAAATCACCTGAGGTCTGTGTTGCTTCGTTACAGGGAACCGAAGTCATAACCTGGCTACGAAATAGTTTATCAAGCGGATACGTTTAATTTTAATTGTCAGTCAGTAATTAATGATCTGCGACTAGGGCGCAGCACCCCGTAAATCCCCTTGACGCGCAAACTCAGGCCGGAACACGGCTTCGGGTCTGTTACGCAAGCCCAACACCAAGCATCAAGGATACTACTTCAGCTAGGCAGTCAGGCCCTGTTTAAGGTGTTGTGCTCTAGGGGCTCCCGCGCAAAGGGGTTCAATGTCTCAATAGCAGGCATCCGACGCGTCAGAGGTAGCAACAGTGTCTGTCGCCTGGCCTGGTGATTCCAAGCCAGTCATGCGTTCACAGGAACCTATACAAGGGGTCTTTTGTTGTGTTGATTCTCCGCTCTTCTATGCTAAGTCGTCCCAAACAAGAACTTAGATGATACAGTATGGGAAGTCAGACCATGCATTGCGGTATTGCTGACCAGGTGAAGCATCAGCCGTTGCATCACATGAGCCCTTCAGCAGCAACAATGTCTACTATGCTACTTCTAGCATGAGCATGGCCTGTCAGTAGGAGTGATGAAATATGATACTACAGCACCTGCGGTACAATTATCAAACTCTTTCTGAGAAGGTTTCAGTTTCATCAATACAGAATGACACCCCACACCTTGGGTACGGGTACAGCCAAACAAAAAATGAAGTCCTTTGCGGAAGAGCCTGGCAGCTCAAATATCTAAAGAGAAGCCAAACTATGATTTCATCGACAACGTACCACCATTACTGCAACATTGCTAGTGTCGTCGGCAGAATCAAGAAACAAAGTCTGTTGCGAGAAGTGTGTCCTCATAGATATCCTGATCAACCCACGAAACCAGAACATACATAACTGGGTAATACTTTCAAGGCCCCCCAAATTCTTCATAAATGGGGTCCCTCAAACCACGCTAGGGGAAATTACTGATTATGCAACATGCCACCTAGATAGGGATAAGACGAACCCCACGTACACTTGGACCATCTCATACAAGGAACTGGCATTCTCAGACACCATGACGCCACACAGGCCCAGGGCGCTGATTAATGCGCGGCTTCCCAAAACTGGCTTTCGAATTGAGCCAAAGCTCAACAAACAGTAAGGGAGCTGCCTTAATGAGGATGTGCCAAAACTGGGGGCATGTAGTAGGGTCCTAGTGATGCATGGGGAAGATAGAGAGACTATATCGTGTATATATATATATATGCATACAGATACCCTTAGACATGTTATGTACAGATTGTTTGGAGGATTTCCCAAATCATTACCCAAGCATGAATGAAAACGTCTGTCACGACCGGTAATGTACTGGAAGTTACCGTACATGGATCCGTACAGTACAGATTTACGGAATTTCCCCATGCTACCCCACAAGCATCTTGCCTGTCTTGTAAATTTCCGCTTTTAGCTATACCTAAACCCTAAACCCCTAAACCCAAAACCCTAAACCCTAAACGTATAGAAAGCCACCATCCAGGGGGACCTCACATCACGAGATGCCGACAGGAAACACTCCGCGAGCCCCAATTTTTTCTCAGGGAGCCCAATAATTACCGTTGATGATAATGATCCACCTTGATTTGTATTTGGGTTCCTAGTTTCTCCTGTAATGAAAATTGGGTACTCGGCTCCTTGGGCACCCAAATCTCACTTGCACCGTGAGGCCTCGCACCCCTGTCCAACTCTGCAACCAGCTGAGCACTAATAGTAATAGAGTATTAATAATAGTAAAACAGTACTAATAAGAGTAATAGTAAATAGCATCACGATCAGTAGTATTATTGCTATATTGCTATATAATTCCTTTTACTGTCACCACTAGCAACCAGCCGTGCCATCTTCCATCTGGGTTGCTCTCCGGGAGTCTCTAAACGAAGGATCGTAGTATCCGTAGTATACTGTAAACTGGGTTTTAGGGCTTATAGGGTTTAGTCTATACCTTAAGAACTCGGGACCCACAGACACTACAGCCCCCATCAGAAGGGAACCCAATTCCATTTTCGAGCCATTTCAAGACTTTCTACGTGCTCTGGCGCCTTGGCAAGACCCAACGCATTCTTAAAAAAAAGCCCCGACAACATCCAACAAGTTTAGGGCAACGAACTCCGCACCCTAGACTCTAAACACAAACCTTTACAAAGCGATAAGATTGGACTAAACAAAACATATCTTCAAACCTACCTTCTCCACCGCGGCCATATGTAGCTTCCAATGAATGCAAAGAGACCAGTAACCCCTACAAATCTCAAGCTTTGAGGCCTGCGTGGACCCTGAAAGTATGTAGACTATTGGCCGAAAATCAATCAAAAGAAGCGAAATGGCTATAATTACAGATGCTTTTGTTTATACTTCGGGAACAGCTAAGCACGATTCAGAGCCCCAAATTATGGATTCCCCTACGATCCCACCCCATACAGCCTCTCAAGTGCCCTTAACCATGGAGGGGTGTAGTAGGGGAACCCCGAAACCCCTCATCTTAAATTCTTCACCCTAAGCCCCTAAACCCTAAATCCTAAACCCTAAGTCCTAAACCTTAAATCCTAAACCCTAAACCCTAAACCCCTTAACCAAAAATCCTAAACCCTCGTAGATTCTGTCCTCCGTCCCGGAGCTTTCGAAGGCTCCTGGCCTGGTTTTAGGGTTCAGGCCTCTGCATCTGGAGGGCCGAAGGA